TCAGGATTTGTGAGTGCTCCAACTGTTGAATATCTTCACAAAGATGGAAAAATTAAAGTTACTGTCGGTGAGTTAAAACACCCCAAAAATAATTTTTTTTAATTAAAACCACAAAAACTAAAAAATTAAAATTTTTTTCTTAAAGCTTCGGCGGTTAAAGAAGAAGCGGATGCACTCGCTTCCAAATATCCAGGAGTCGAATCCGTTTTCATGAACGTCATGGAACGTCCGGATCATTTAAACGATCTTGTCTTATCGGCGGATATGGTTATTTCTCTTTTACCATACAGTTTACATCATCACGTTGCCGAATGTTGCATAAATACTAAAACGCACATGGTAACCGCGTCTTATTGCACGGCGGAAATGAAAGAATTACATCAAAGGTTAATAAAAATTTCCCCCCCTGCCTCCCCCCCACATAAACACATTGTTTAATAAATGATTTTAATTTGATAGAGCTTTAGATGCCGGAATAACGATTGTTAATGAAGTCGGTCTGGATCCCGGAATCGATCATCTTTTAGCCATGGAATGCTTTGATGAAATTAGACAAGGAGGTGGTAAAATTGAATCTTTTGTTTCTTACTGCGGCGGATTACCCGCACCGGAATGTTCAGAAAATCCACTGAGGTATAAATTCAGTTGGTCTCCGAGAGGAGTGCTCTTAAATACTCTGGGAGAAGCGAGATACTTAAAAGATGGAAAAGTATTTGAATCGAAATCGTCATTTTATACAACTTATTTAAAATCTCCGTGGAAATTTTTATGTATTTTACATCTTTCCAGACGATTACGATACAAGGAGGAGGGGAACTCATGAATTATGTACACGGTTTAGACTTTTTACCTGGTTTCGCACTCGAAGGTTTTGCCAATCGTGATAGTTTATCATATATCGAAGCTTATGGACTTCACGATGCTCACACAGTACTTCGAGGAACTCTTCGTTACAACGGTAGAAAATTAAATAAATATTTACACCCGCCATTTTTTTTTTTTTTTTTTTGTAAATTGCAAAAAAATCTTTCTTTTCTCGACAGGTTTTTCGGAAACGATTAAAAGCATACAAAAATTAGGATTAATAAGTACGGAACCTAAACCGTCACTTCATCCCAACGGTCCTGACATAACATGGGTTCGTACTTTTACTTTTTTTTTTTTTTTCCTTTCCTTTTTTTTTTTTTTTGTTACACGAATGAAAAAGTGAAGAGAGAGAAAATAATAAGAAAAAATTTTTTTAACCGTTTTTCAAAAAAAAAAAAAAAATTGAAAGAGAAAAATAAGAGAAATTAAATGAGTTGAAGAAAAAAAAACTGAAAAGAATTTCAAACAATGAAAAATAATAATAATAATAAAAAGTTTTTTAGTTAGACTGACTGTTTTAAAGTTAAAATTTTCTTTTTTCTTTCTTAACACTTTTTTTTTTTTTTGGCTTTACTTAAAATTTGATTTATGAAATTATTATTATTATTATCATTAATGTTTTATTTGATGTATGTATATATATCTGAAAACTAAAAACTTTAAATGAACCCCAAAAAAAATTTTAGAGACAATTTATCAGCGGTTTAATTGGAGTCACTGATAACACGATTTTATATGAAAATTTACGTCGGAAAATTGCTCAACATTTGGGGAGTCAAACCATGTTGGAATCCATCGAACAACTTGGACTTTTGGAAAATGACAAAGTCATAAAACTTAACACTCCATTGGACACGCTCAGTCATTATCTGTCAAAAAAATTAGTTTTGGGTATGATTTTTTTTTTATTTTTTTTGAAATAATAATGTGACGCCATTTTAATTTTTCCGTTTGATTTTTTTTTTTTAACGTTCAGGACCTCAAGATAGAGATATAATTATTTTACGTCACGAAATTGGTATTCTTTGGGGAGATTCTAAACGTGAAAAAAGAGGGATTAATATGGTATTGTACGGTCAGAGACCGGGTGAAGGTCATTCGGCAATGTCAAAAGCTGTCGGATTTCCAGCTGCTATCACTGCTAAAATGGTTATGGACGGTATGTCGAAAACAATTTTACGATAATAATAATAATAATGATGATAAAATTCTTACGGGGTAAAAAATATTTATTTTATTAATTACAGGTGAAATACAGAGAAGAGGCATTGTTTACCCTTTCACTCCTGATATTTATAGAACGCTATTAACAAGACTACGAGCAGAAGGACTTGAAACAACAGAAACATCCCAATGGTTGTAAAAAAACAAAAAAAAAAAAAAATCGATAAATAAAATAAATAAACTGCTCCGAAAATAAAACCAAAAAAAAAAAAAAAACAATTAAAAAAATTTTTTTTTTTTTAAATCCCAGTTTCTTTGAATTATTTCTTTCTTCCTCTATCTTTCTCTTTTCTCTCTTTTTTTTACAAAAAAAAAATTTATTACCAAATGTTTTTAAAATTTACGATAACGCATTTAAATTATTATTATTATTATTATTATTATTATTATTATTTTTTCACGTAATTAAATTAAACGTTATTAATATCCGTGTATTATTTTAATATATATTTATAAACTCGAGCGTAAAAAAAAATTATTAAAATATAAATTTTAAAGCGCCATATTTAAAACGCTCTCTTTTATTTTCTCAATAAAAACGCAAATAATAATAATAATTATTATTATTATCATTATTATAAAACAACTCTTTAGGTTCTTATTATTCTACGAATGATTCCCCTTTTTTTAAATTTAAAAAAAAAAAAAACTTTAAAAATGTTTTTATTATTATGACAAATCAAAAATATAAAAAAAAAATATTAAAAATAATAATATTATTATTATTAATAAAGTAATAAATTTCGTCGTAGTTTAAATACAAAAATTATTATTATTCTTATTAATATCATCATTCGAATTAATTTAATAATAATAATTATTTAATAACATAAAATTTTTCTTTTCGGAGTATTACAAAAAAAAAAAAAAAAAAAATTAATAAGATGATTGCGATTAATAATTTTTCCTAACGTTTTTTTTTTCTCTCTCTTTCTCTCCGATTTTTAATGTTTATATGAATAAGGAACAAACAAACGAACAAACGAACAAACAAACGAGCAAACAA